ACCCAAATGACCAAAAACAGTCCTCAAGCACATCAAAACAAGCATAAAAGTTTCACAAAGCTAAGCCAAAACATGCTAGAACAAGGCTCAAAGCATAAAGCATGTTAAGCAAATCATGGCATTACAAGACAAGTATGCAAAGAAAGCATGATGGTGTCTAAACCAAGTAAAAAAAGTGTTATATCATGGCAAAATAAGCACAAATAACACTTAAGACATGGCCAACATGAACTCAAGAATGGTGCTCACACATGAGGCTAAAAATGGCACATTTTGAAGATAACAAGAAGAGGGGATGACCCTCTCCTTCTTAGGACCTTAAGACACCATCCTCACCACTGAAATCCCTCAAGATTTCAATGGTGAGGAGGCCCAAACAAGGTGGTCCCGAAGCTCACCAAAATAGCACAAAATGGGGCCAAACAAGGCCTGCGAGGGGGTAAACGACCCCAAACACAAAGTGATCTTAACAAACTTCAAAAGGAGCTCAAAATAAGACTTTTTTTCAGTTTATGACAAAGCCCAAATATGCTTTCAAGTAAGGATAAAAGTGTGTGCAAAAACGGGGAATAAAGAGGGTAAGAAGTGTTGCCCTTGAAGACCAGCAAGAACCAGCAGCCTTTAGACCCAAAAATGCAACCCTCAACCTCTGAAAACAAACTCCAAGAACCTCCAAGTGATGATGGAAGTGTGTGGCTATGAAGTGGTGTACAATAGGCCAAGAACAAGACCCTTTGAACCCTCTAACACACCCAAATGTAGAGAAGAGAGGATATATAGAAAGAGAGTCATATATTTATTATATATATCTTATATATTAGATTTTTCAACCCTTGAAATGGGAGGAGAGGCCCTCTATTTATAGAGCAAGGCAAAAGGCCTAAGCTTCTTGGAGAAGCTAAGGCAAAAGGGTCAAAGGGGGCAAGCTTCTAAGGGAAGCTAAGGTAAAGGGCCAAGCTTCTTGGAGAAGCTAGACAAGGGTTCAAGCTTCTTGGAGAAGCTAAAACAAACGTTCAAGAGGTCAAGCTTCCTCAAGAAGCTAAAACCAAGGGTTCAAAAGATTCAAGCTTCCTCAAGAAGCTAGAACTAAGGTTCAAAAGATTCAAGCTTCCTCAAGAAGCTTGAACTAAGGGTTCAAAAGATTCAAGCTTCCTCAAAAAGCTATAACCAAGGGTTCAAAAGGTTCAAACCCCCTCAAGAGAAGGTCTCGGCCAGAAAAAGTGGCTAATCGGCCAATAAAGTTGGCCAACGACCACAAAAGGTGCCGACCGGCCATCACCAATGGCCGGTGGAAAGAAAACAGGGCCGGTGGCCTCAAGCCATGGCCGGTGGTTTAGGGAATGGCAAACAAGCCATTCTCTACCCCCAAAGCAAAAACCAACAAGTGTTTTGTCCAACCAAGCACAAAACAGTCGAGTTGAGAGATCCTGAGGCAAGGTGCATAGCCGAGACCTCCGAGAACTCAGGACGAACACGAACATGGGTAACATCGAGGTGTCAAACGATGACGTCCAAGTCTCGAGGACGGTAAAAAATGGGGTGTCTACAGGGTGCTCGACCTCTTGGCCTTAGGCTATTACCAAATGGTTCATCATACATGTTAGGTCTGTGCATTTCAGGGTATGCCCCAATATTACCACCATTATTTATACCTTGGTGTCCATAACCCATGTTATATCCAACATTTTGGTTTCCAAAACCTTGGTTATAATTTTCAAAACCCATATCATTTCTTGGCCTCCTGTTAGGATTAAACTCTGTGTTAAACAAATCCCTGTCTCCTACTCCTTTTTGGCCATGTAATGGATTAGAAAAAATATTTGACCTAGGGTGCCCCCCAGGCCAATTTCCTTGAATTTTAACATTTGGTGTTTGAAATACCTCATGCATTCTCTCATTTGCAGTGGGGTCCCTATAAAAGGACATTGGTTTACCTATAGATTGGGGTGGCCCACCAGTTGGTGGCTCCATGTGTGTTTTTGAGGACACCTTCTGTGCCTTTCTTTCATTCTGGCTTGCATACTCCATCGATAGAACTTTCAACACACTCCTTACTTCTTCTAGAAGGATCTGGTTCTTTTCAAGTGACTGGTTTGCTAGTGCATCCCTTATCTGAGCTACTAAAACCCATGTTGGAATTTTGGCATGGCCACTTGCCTGGCCTTCTGTACCCACTATTTGGCCACTCATCCGGCCTTTATGGGCCATTGCCTAGCCTCCATGCTGGGTATCACCATCATCAACAAAGACTAAGTCCTGGTCCACCTATTCTTCTTCAAACTCAACTAGCCTCTTTTCAGCATGCTTGTCACCTGTTTCTTTGCCTTCACTATTTCCTAACCAAATTATGCAAGATGGTCCCACTGAGCGTGCCAAAAATTGTTAGTAAAAATTATGTTAGTACTGGATCGACAACAACTAAGCAATAATTCAAACTACACAACTTTATATAGAAACAATCAAGCAACTGTGGTTCTGGTTCAAATGCCTCAAAAGACTAAGGATTTCTCTAGATCAAATAGTGACAGCAAGGTAAACAAGAAAGAACACAAACTTTATTGATCAACAGATGGTAACAAGGTAGATTAAATAAACAGAAGCAATTTCATACTAAAATCCACCTGTGCTTACCCAACAAGTATAGATTACAATGATAAATGCTACTTCTAAATTATAATCTCAACTACTCCTAAGTCTAAAAGCTAATTTGTTATATTGTTGTTGATGTCCCCTCGTTTATGCCAATCTTTGGCCTTTATACTTCTTCTTTCATATGCCCCTATGATCTCCCCAACCTGCAACTGCTACTGTGTAATTGCTGCAATTGCTCATTGACTTCTAGGCTTTTTAATTACATTAACACTCTCTTTCTGTCTATCGATCTGCCTCTTTTTCAGGTTATTTCATGTCCACAAACTCTTTTGACCTTCTCTCGATAAAGAAAAGCTCCTACTTTGTCTCATGCTTCTTCTTGAAAGGTTGCCCACTAACTCCATGATCACTGCCAGTAACTGCTCCATCATTTATAGTCAATCCATATGCAAAGACCCACTTTCTCCTGTTAGTCATGGTCCACTGATGCTGTATATCCACTCTAGACTTGGCCACGTGTCCTCCATTAACTGGACCACCTGTCGATAGAACCTAACAAAAATAGGTGCAAACAGTATTATAGGATTTATTAGTGCATTCAAAAAGTCAATAAGACTTATAAGTATTTAAATTCACTAAATAAAAATAGTTATTAATTAACCCTTTTAAGGATTATAAATAACTAAGATAAAGTGTCCTGGACAGAGGTGTGGGTCTAAAAAGTCTGGTATATTACTGGTATTTTTACTAAATAAAATGGGCTTTACCCAACCTTCAGTATGTTTGGGCCTTTCCATACTGAAGGTGTTTGTTGTTTACAAAGAATTATGTGGTGCTCTTGGGATATTGACGAAGATTTGGTACTTTCCAAGCTTTTATAATACAAGGAACAGGTTATTTTGGAACCTTTTTCAATATATATATATTTCTTTCAAAGAGGACATATTTGAGGAATTAATCACTAATTTGTCAAGTCATTACTTGATTCTTTTGATCATTAATTGATTTGATAAGTCACTGTTTGATTCGACAAGTCATTACATAATTTGAGATGACATATCACTGACTGATTTCACAAATCACAATTTGTGTAGATCAAACCCCGGATGTTGGCATTGACACTTGAATTGCGGAAACCCATACTCTAATTCTTGTCCCCCGAACCCTAGACCCACATAATATTGGACCCTAATACTCCAAAAGCCCCTACAAAATTGTGTGGGTCTTGTGTAATTAGAATTAATTGAAGTTGTTAGAGATCTAAAATTTTAGACTCACAACTCACAATAATATGACAAGAGAGTTGAGCCTATAAGTGGATGTCCACTTGGGTGCCTCAACTGAGGATATTGGCTAATGACTCAGTGGGTGGTTTCTTGACTCACTGTGGTTGGAGTTCAACTATTGAGGGCCTTCAATTTGGACATCCACTTATTATGTTGCCCTTCATGGTAGAGCAAGGGTTGAATGCTAGGATTTTTGAGAAAAACAAGGTGGGTATAGAAATACCGAGAGATGATCAAGATAGGTTATTGTATCGGAACTCAGTAGTTGAGTCACTGAAGTTGGTAAAAACTGACGATGAGGGAAAGGTTTATAGGGATAAAGCTAGAGAGATGGGAGCTACATTTGGTGACAAGCTTCAACATGGCCAATATATAGACAAATTTATCGAGCATCTACAAAACTACAAAAGGATTAAGTTAATGGAGTTCTTAGTGACAAATATTATGTTTTTAAGTAATATGCATTTTATTTGAAGCAAAGGCTTATTTTCATTATCTTGTAAAACATACGCAAACAAATTATTGGTGACTTTGAAAATAAAATGCCATCATGTTGTTTTCTAATCCTCCACATTTAACCTGTGACACACATATCTTATAATTATAGATTTCTAACAACTCCATTGGTTGAACTAATCCTGACTGTCCATGGTGACATCTAGAACAAAGAATAATGATACATAACTCTAATTCAAGAGTTCTAAATAGAGCTCTAATGAGTTGACAAGTCAAAAGAAGATAAAAAGCACCAATAGAAAGTAACAATAATTACACATGGGTTAGTGCCACATAATTAGAGATCCTTTAGAGCTCTTATTTTAGAGCTACTAAACATTTTTTCTAGAACAAATATCCCAACTAGAATTCAAATAGAGTCTTCCATTGTTATATAGATTTAAATATCAAATTATTCATCTAAATGCAAAATATCAAAAATAAAATGACACATTGTCTTTTTATTTATTTATTTATTGGTCATCCAAATACAACAAAAATAAATTACAATTACTTCAGCCCTTTTACAAGTTCTAATACCACAATTTAAAACCATGTTTTCCACTTAAAACTCAACCTTCATGAACGCATCTACTGTTTTTGGAGAGATACTCAACAAAATTGTGCATGTACTGATCATGCAGGACCTTGTCACCAAATAGGGCACTGATTTCTCTTGCTTTCTTCCTATAAATTAATCCCTCGTTATTGTCTACCATAACCAATCTGATTGAGTCGGCCACTGAGTTCCTTGTGAAGGACCCATCTTCTTCATCTCTCGATATCTCAATCCCAACCTTATTCTCATGGAGTACCCTTGCATTTAAACCTTGGTCTGCCATGAACGGCAACATAATAAGTGGTTTCCCAAACTGGAGTACCTCTATCACGGAACTCCATCCACAGTGAGTTAAGAAACCTCCCATTGATTCATGACCCAATATCTTCAGTTGAGGCGCCCAACTCTTCCACACTACCCCTCGACTTCTGGCTCGCTCCTCGAACCCATCCGGCAGCTCAACCGATTCGGACTTGTTTGAACCAGGCAGCTTCCTTAATGCCCAGAAAAAGGGCAAACCAGAGAGCTCCAACCCAAGAGCCAACTCGGTGACTTCTTCTTGACTCGGCATGGCTTCGCTCCCCAATGCTACCTAAACTACAGAGCCATTGTTTTGGTTGTTGAGTCGCTCACTGATTGAAAGCCACGTCTCGTTGACACCGCTGTCTTCAACCACCGCCGGTGGCATTAAACCGAGTGGAATTACAGGTTTGGGTTGAAGATCTTGGAGGAGAGTCAACCATTGGGGCTCAAACTCTCTATAGTGTCGTATGGCGTAGACGTCGCACCCCAACGCCGCCGATCCATATCGATACAAGTCGGAAACCCCAGGAGCATTATTTGTTGCACCGGATAGGATTCGCTTTATCTCATAGAGGCGAAAGGCTACGATGGTAGGAAATTGGACCCACTTAGGTGGGACAGTGAACTGCTGCGGTTCCATCGGGTTATCATCCGAACCGTCGATCAAAGCCGACGCAGGACCAGAGAAAGCTGCATACCAGGCGTTGATGGTGAGGAAGAAGGCTCGAGAAATGCCGAGTTTGGTGGCGACAGGGGGCAACCAGTGAGGAGCGAAGTCATAAATGATCCAGTCAGGTGCGGACGCTTGAAGGAAGCCAGCCAACCCAGTCTCGAGTCCGTCGAACGCTTTCTTCAGGTAAGGAATATGGTCGAAGGGGACGTCCCTGGTGGCCTCTGCGTTTTCAGGGAGGTGGTCGTCGACGCGGGGCAACGGGAGCTCAACAAAATGTATGAAAGGAGATAAATTAGGAGGTAGCTTTGGCAAGCGTTGGATGTTTCTGGGCGTCGATACAAAGGAAATCTTTTGACCCGTTTGGGCAATGAATTTGGCGAGGTCTAAGTATGGGATCATATGACCAAAGGCTAGCCATGGGAACATAACTATGTGGAGCTTCCAGTCGCGACCGGCCATTGGTGAGGGAGGCACAACAACAGACTCCATAATTAAGGTGGCTGCGTGATCTACTCTACAAAGAAGAACACTACTACCATTCCATATATAGATGCTTTTTGACTACGTGATCTCTAACATTACTCTATTTATATTATTTTAAATAATTTCTAAATTCAACTCAAGGTAAAAAGAAGTTAAAAGAGTAATATTAAAACAATAATGATTTAGATCATTAAAAAATACATCATTAATAGCACTAATATATTGAGAATGATAAAAATAAAAAATAAAAACAAGGCATAGAAAGTGGGCAGGGCCCACTGCCACATCATTAGTGCTCCCTCTAATGATCCCTTTTTAGTGCTCCCAAGCATTTTTCATACTGAAAATCTTAAATATTTATCAAATATCTCACATGGGTGTGAGACCCACACAAGATGGGTCTCAAGACTCATCTGGTGTGGATCCCACACCCATGTGATATATTTGGTAGAACATTTAGTAAAATATTTGGAATCTTTAACATTTTTCATATAAATAAGTATACTTTTTGACTTTTTTATTAAAAAAAATATTAAAAAAATACATATTTAAAATAACTTTTTAACTTATGAAAAAATATGTTATAAAATATTATAATAAATAACAAAATAACAATTTTACCTTTAAAGGACGTCCGACAGCATTGCCTGCCAACTTTTGCATTTGAAATATAATTTTTTTTTTTTTTTGACATTTGGAACTATAAATTTCTACGTGGGTGAGGGAGTGCCACATCTGTATAGATAGTTTTGGCTTTTGTTGTTGAATTCAACAAGAGGATAATTGGGGCAACACAATTGTACAATTATTGGACTGCAGTATTAAAAAAAATAAAAAATAAAAAAAGAGTTGCAATTTTTTTTTAAGAAAACGAGTAATGTGCTATTGTTGGTCAACAAATGTGCATTTTTTTGGTTTCACCGTGGCTAATTGTTTTTTGATAAAAAATGATAATTTAGCCTGGCATATATCCCTTGTAATTTTATCAATGTTTTCAACAACTTATAATTTTTTGGTCAATATATTTTTTTCAACAACCCATAGTTGCTGTCATATATAGTTACTCACTTTATGATATATAACTTCATGTAATTATGATATATGGAGGGCTAAAATCATTTGGAAAATACACTCCCACAATTATGTTTTCTTTTAATTTTTTTTTATGGAAAATAATAAACTAGCACAAAAGAAGAAGGAAATTATATGAATGTGCTTTGCTTTCTATGATGTTGAAACCATCATATTTCCTTAATGTTATGACGTTTGCATCATGGATTTAGTTAGGGATTTGAAAAGGAAAAAATGTGTATGAAATTTAATTATATTTTATTGACATTTCATTCACATTTTCCCTTTCCTTTTCAAATCTACACTCAAATCCATGATCCAAACACAACATAAAGGTTCTATCAAGATCAAAAAATCCAATAATAATAATTCAAATCCAATAGTCCAATAGTTCAATAGGTCGGATTCCGAGTTATCAAAAAAATAATCCTATAGTCCATCCAATTAGAAGCTATTCAGCTTTACCTTTGACATAGAAAACTAATAGGAAATTAACCAAGTTATGCTATGTCAAATAATCCAATAGTCCATCCAATCAAATAATTTTTTTTTTGTAGTTCTTTTTATTTTTTTAAGTGGTCAAACGGTTGGTTTTGGTACATTTGTTTGAGTGTTTATGTAATGGTTATTGATATTTTGAACAAAGGTAGTAGAGTTTCATCTTTGTTATTGCTTATGCAGTTTGTTAATGTCAAAATATGTGCAAAATAATAATTTTCGTACATAGATTCTTTCTTTTCTCCCCATAATCATAAATTTCCTTAAATATTGTCTTCTTTACTAACTTTGTTTCGATATTCTGTTTTTGTTTGTCATAGGTCCTCAATTTCTCTATCTTAACATAGAAGTAAAGCCGTGTCTCCTTCATCCCTTCCTCCCTAGTAGTTGCATTAGCATGTATACTTTTTAATTTATTTGCTCTTAATTAATAGCAGGGCACTGGCGAGTGTGCTTTTTTTAATTTATTATTTATTTGTTTATTTTAATTGATAGTAGGATGCTTGCAAGTGTGTTTTTTTTTTAATTTATTTTTTGAATTAATAGTAGGGCACTATCAGGTGTGCTTATTTACTCATTTGCTTTTAATAATTGATATTTGATAGCAGAGCATTGGCGAGTGTGCTTTTTATTTATTTTTTCATTTTAATTGATAGTAGGGTACTTGCTTGTGTGTTTTTGAATTTATTTGCTTTGAATTGATAGTAGGCCACTAGCTGGTGTGCTTATTTATTTGTTTAATTTTAATTTATAGCAAGGCACTGGCCGGTGTGCTTTTTTATTTATTTAATTTTAATCGATAGTAGGGTACTTACAGGTGTGCTTTTTTATTATTTGTGTTTAATTGATAGCAAAGCCCAGGTGGGTGTACTTATTTGTTCATGTTCTTTTAACAATTAATAATTGATAGCAAAGTATTGGCGGATGTGCTTTTTTATTTATGTGTTTGGTTTTAGTTGATAGTAGGGTACTTGCAGGTGTGTTTTTGATTTTTTTTTTTTTTGAATTGATAGCAAAGCACTGGCAGGTGTGTTTATTTATTTGTTTGATTTTAATTTATAGCAAGGCACTGGTGGGTGTTTTTTTTTTTTTGTTGATTTGTTTGATTTTAATTGATAATGGTGTACTTACGAGTGTGCTTTTTTATTATTTACATTTAATTGATAGTAGAGCATTGACGGGTGTGTTTATTTATTTTTTTTCTTTTAATTGATAGTAAGGTACTTGTGGATGGGGTTTTGTAGTTTGTTTGATTTAATTGATACCAGGGCACTGGTGGATGTGCTTTTTTATTCATTTTCTTTCAATTTATAGCACACAGGTGAATTTTTTTTTCATTATTACTACTATTGATCATTGCTTTTGCTTTCTTTTGGAGCTATACTAGCATAATAACCGTGCTATACTCGGGCACAAACAAATAATGAAAAATAAATTATAATATTAAATAATAACATAAATTTTTTTAAAAATATATAAGAAAAAAAAATGTAGAATCAATTAAATTTTAACCATTTTTATTAGAGGTACACTTGAGAGAAGTTTTTTTTATTGTTATGTCATTAATTGTGTGTTTCAACTTTTTAATATGTTTGTTACTGGTTTATTAGAAAAAAAAAAAATACATATTGCATTCTGTTAGTTTAATAGGCATACCAAACATGATGGATGAGATACATCATTATATTCATATGCCATACCACGTTGGCAACCAAGCATTGGAATGGGAACGGGCATTCCATTCCATTAAACCTTATTATTCATTTGTACTCTCATTCCATGCCAACTTCGTTCCATTCCTTTGTACCAAACATGCTCTTAGGTTGTGACATGAGTATGAGCTAGTTTGAGGATATCAATATAAGAAGGATATATTGTTTGGCATAGTTATTAACATTTAATTTTTTTTTAATTAAGACATTATATATTTATTTGTAAAATATGTATGGCATTTGGTTAAGGTATATTTGTGTTTGAAAAACTACTTAAGGCGAGATTGGGTTAGTCCATAAACTATATTTTTAACTGTTAATACTGCACAAAGAAGTGAAGGGATTTTGCTATAGAGTAACATGATAAATCATGTCATATCATGTTTTGTCTAGGGTTCCTTTGAACCCTTTGTACCACGGATTCATAAGCTCCATTGGTTCAATGTGATGCTGATGTGGGTTCCACTTGACAAGCAACATTCATCTATTAAAAGATTCTGTCTCTTCTTTGGCCTCTCTTGAGTTTGCCCAACTCTTAGGGTGACTTTCAATGTTTTGTTCAGTGACCTTTTGAAACATCATAGTTGTTGGATCGTATTCCCAACATCTCAAATAAACCACCTAACCCAAGTTCCTACATGATCTCTTGTTATTTTGTGTGCCATTTGCTAAAGTTCATACATATATGTTGTATATGTGATTTGTTATGCAGATACAATGGATGAACCTGAAAGTAGTAGGCACAAAGAGGTCAACAGTGAAATTGATGATCAATTTGCTTCGGATGGCAAGGATGATGTTGTCGATGTAAAAGAAGAAGGGTTAGCTTCCCAAACCTACGATAGTTTACAAATGCTTACTAAGGTAGATGTTTTGTAAATGAAATTCAATTCAGAGGATGATGCCTTTTCTTTCTACAATGCATACGCTAAGGTCATCGGTTTTAGAGTACAAAGAAGTAGAAAAAGAATTTGTGGAGACAACAAATTTGTAGAGAGTAGGAAATGGGTTTGTTCAATGGAAGGTGTAAGAGAAAAGAAATATTTACAGCGTGTGGAACGGGTAAGAACTCCTAGGGCAGAAACTGGACTTTTTTGTAGTGCCACATTTTGCATGCGTTATGACAAGGCAGTTAGAAAATATGTTGTGACCCACTTTTTAGGGGAACAAAATCATCCCTTGACAGCACCACACAGTGTCCCTTTTTTTTGGTCGCATAGGTTTGTAACAAGTGCAGACCAAACTAAGCAAAGGCCATGCGCAATGTGGGTATGAAAACGAGTCAGATCATGGATTTTATGGTCCATCAATCAGGGGGTTATGAGAAAGTGGCCTTTTTATTTTTTATTTTTTTTTGAAGTAAGAAGGTGGGCTTCATTCACAATGATTTGCACAACCAATTCCAAGTTAAGCGCAAAGTACAACTTGTAGAAGGGGATGCAGAGGGTGCCTTAGGATACTTATCAGAGAAAGTAGATGCAAATCCATTATTTTTTTCAAGTACAATGTCAATAAGGAGAACCAGTTGGACAAGATTTTCTGGGCAGATGGTAGGTCTCGAATGGACTATGCTACATTTGGTAATGTATAGGTAGTTGATACAACTTATCGTAGAAATGCATATAAGAAGCCATTTGTAATTCTAGCTGGCGTAAGTAACCATTTTTTGACAACCATATTCGGATGTGCTTTGTTGCCTGATGAGACAATAGTGACATTCACGTGGGTAATGTTAATGGAGGCCATGGATGGTAAAAGACCCATCTCCGTTGTAATAGATAGTGATAGGGCAACGCGTCAGGCAATTGTAGACACCCCATTTTTGACCGAACTTAAGACTTAGATGTCATCGATAGAGCGCTCGGTGATTGCGCATGTTGTGCTCGTTTTGAGGTTTCGGAGTTTCGGCTGAGAGCCTTGCCTCCGGGCCTCGGGACTCTTTGTGCTTCGACTCGGTCTGCGGACTAAGTCTTGCTTTCTCTTCCCGGAGGGAGGGAGAGGTCTTGTAGACCATCTCTCAGTGGTCGTAGACTACTTTTCGTGGTTGTAGGCCACTGCTCCCGTTTGGAGACTAGTTTCCGGTTTTCAGAGCCGTCGGCCGCGCACCTCGGCTCGGGACTGCTTAAAATTCTCCGTTTGGCACGGTTTTTGGCACACGCCTTGTTTCTTCTGCCTAGAGGCACACTGTGGCCCGGGAGACCACCTTTGTGGTCGCACGCCACTTTTGGTGCTTAACAGCCTGTTTTCGGAGCACCTGGCCGTACGTTTTGCCCACCGAACCCTCGTTTTGCATCGGTGTTGGTTCATTTTTTGTATGAACCTTGTTTTCATTGTTTGGAAGGTGGTAAAAGGGTGGGAAACCACCTTTTCTCTTGGAGAGCACTTCTCTCTCTGCCAGCCAATTTTCTTGTTGGGAAACTGGTCTCCTTGATTTTTGAGCCATATTTGCTGGTCTGCCACCATACCACTAGCTTGCATTCAGTTGGGAGACCATCAAATAGGCTGGCCGACAACTTTTCCTTGAGGGAGACCACTCACCCTGGTCAGCCGACCAAGGGAAGTGGTCGGCCGACCACCTTAACTGGTCGGCTTGCTCCCTCCAGTTTTGTCTCTGTGAGTTGTTGCCAGCTGTGCCAGCTGGAAGGCACAGACTGCATCCTCCATACACGTGTATAGAGGATCTTTGGCATTGGTTTTTAGCTTCTTTGAGAAGCTTTGGCCTCCTTTGTCTATAAAGGAAGGCCTCCCCCTCCTTTGTGAGGGTTGAGATTTTGGTTAAGACACATACACATATCTCTCTCTTTGTCTCTATATTTAGGCTTAGGAAGTGTATTGTTCTTGTCCCTTTTGCACCACACCTCATAGCCTAACACTTCCACCATCAACCCAAGGTTCTTGGAGGTCATTTTCAGAGGTTAAGGAGCTGGGTTTTTGGTCCAGAAGTTGCTGTCTTTGTTGAGCTTCAAGGGTAACTCATTTTCTCCCCTTTTAAGCATTATTTTGATCCTTCTCTTAGCCTCATTTGCATGCTTATTTGAGGTTTGTTGTCAACTAAAAAAAGCTTTATTTTTAAGCATTATTCTTGTTTGTTTAAGGCCATTTTCCTGTTAGAGGTCATCTACCCTCTTACATGCTTCATTTAGTCTTGTTTTGAGCCATGCCTTAAGGCCTTTGTGTTGACCTTTGCTTGGCCTTTTAGCCACTAAAATCTAGTGGATTTTTAGTGGTTGGCATGCTATTTTGAGGGCCAAAATCAGAGAGGGGTGACCCTCTCTCTTTTGGCCTTGTTTGTTTGCATATTTGGCCTTTCCAAGAAGCCTATATTTTTGTACTTCCTAGCCTTGGCTCAGGCCATTTTTAGTGACTTTTAGGACCTTCTTAGACTCTGTCTAGGGCTGGTTTAGTCACCTCATGTTTGCCTCTTGCATGTGTAGAATAATCCTCTTCATAGCTTATCAAAGGAGCATGTCATTCTTGCATGTATTGGTCATGTTTCAGTGGGTTTTTGGTCGTTCTTTGGCATATCATAGCTCTGTCTTTGGCTGGTTTAGTGGCCTCTTGAATGCTTCACATGCTTGCAGTGTAAACCGTGCTCACTAGCTTACATTGCATGTTGTTTTGGCCATTGATTCTAGCATATTTTGGCCATACTTCAAACTGATTTTGTTCATATTTTGGGCTGCCTTAGCTCTGTTTTGAGGCCTCTTGGTCGAATGATATTTGCCATGCATACTTGTAGTGTAATATCCTTGCCTAGCCTTGAGTTTTGGACCCCCCTTGCATGCTTAACTTGAGGTGTTTCCATGTCTTGGAATCATTGAGCATGTTATTTCAGAGCCTATGCTTGTGCCATGTTCCCTTATTTTCCACTCTTTAAATGCGTTTGAGAGTTGTGCTTGTATACCTCATTTATGGGCCATTGCATAAGCTTCATTTTTGTGCATTTCAAGCCATCATCTAAGTCCATTTTGCCACTGTTTTGGGCCTGCATAGGGATTTTTTGGGGTTGGTTTGTTCATTTGGGCATTGCTTTGCATACCTCTAGTGTAATGCACTTCACTAGTTTCGATATTTGAGCCATTCAACATGCATAACATGAGTTGTTTGCATGATTGGGGACCATTTTGTATGTCATTTTAGACCTGGAACATGTGTTGTTGTATGCCATATTTCATCATTTCCATGCTTTCATACAGTTGTATCTTGTGCCCTAGGCTTTGGGCCCTTGCATCTTGCATGTTTGCATGTGTTTTGTTGCCTCATTTTCATCATGTATGGCCACTGATTTGGGTGTGGCCGAGGCCTATTCATTTTGGTTTAAGTCCATTTTGCATCGAGTATGCCATTGTAGTTCATAGCATTGAGTATGCCGCGTTGTCTCATGTTTGATCATTGCATTGCGCATGCCTTGTTCACTTCATTGTGTATGATAGTCTTCACATGTGCATTGTGTATGACATATAGTATCATGTGCATTGAGTATGCCATTGTTAGTTCGTAGCATTGCGTATGCTAGTTTGCATGTTTGCACGTCATCCTTTGCATGTTTGTATGACTTGGTTGCATCGCCTTAGGATTGCATGCTTGAGGTCGCATTGTGCATGCCATTCTACTTATTGCATTGTGTTTGGAATAGGAGTTATTCCAAACACGGGAAACGAGGGATGTTTCATACTCCAAGTGATGAAACGTGCCTCGATTCTCGGTCACCGACACTCTTGACTAACACATGATGGAGTTTAGGCATTTATGTGTATATGTCCATTCATTTCACATTGTGTCGTGCAATCTGACTCCTCGACCATCATGCATCGAGATACGTGATTGGTGGCCCGAGGATCAAGGACTACACTCCCTAGAGCTTATACAATGATGGGGAGAGTGGTCGTGCACACATGTGTTGCAAATACCTTGCTCTCTCTCTCTCTTGCCTTTGTTGCAGAAAATGCAGAAACCAGGAGAAGAAACTGGTCGGCCGACCAGGTTTTCTGGCAGGCCGACCACCTTTTTTGGTTTTCACCACCAAGGGTGGTCGGTTGGTGGTCTCCAATGCCTATAGCTAGTCGGTAGCCTCCCCCTAGATTCCCAGGGTAGAGTTTCATCTCCTTGGAGCTTTGTGCAAGTTTCTGAAATCAATTGCAAACAAAGGCGAGCCGGGGCATCGCGATGTATTTCCCGACAAAGCGACTCGAGCATGCATGCATCCTTTATCATTCAAAGCAGAGCTGAGGCAGCCCATTTTACATAGTTTGCATGCTAGTTTAGTTAATTTGTTAATTAGTTAGTGTTGTGTAATAATTAGTTAATTTGATTCTGTATTATTTATTCGGACCCTCCGAGAGAGGGCAATGTTGTAATAAGTATGCGTGTGCGTGATGTACGTCTTCCAACCCTACGTCTTTCTCTCTTTTATTTACCAGCTTATGATGGTTAGTTTTAGGGCACGTTTCAATTAGCATCCTTATGCTCGTATGTTTGCATCCATCGATGTAAAAGAAGAAGGGTTAGCTTCCCAAACCTATGATAGTTTACAAATGCTTACTAAGGTAGATGTTTTGTAAATGAAATTCAATTCAGAGGATGATGCCTATTCTTTCTACAATGCATACGCTAAGGTCATCGGTTTTAGCATACGAAGAAGTAGGAAACGAATTTGTGGAGACAACAAATTTGTAGAGAGTAGGAAATGGGTTTGTTCAATGGAAGGTGTAAGAGAAAAGAAATATTTACAGCGTGTGGAACGGGTAAGAACTCCTAGGGCAGAAACTAGACTTTTTTGTAGTGCCACATTTTGCGTGCGTTATGACGAGGCTGTTAGAAAATATGTTGTGACCCACTTTTTAGGGGAACAAAATCATCCCTTGGCAGCACCACATAGTGTCCCTTTTTTTTGGTCACATAGGTTTGTAACAAGTGCAGACCAAACTAAGCAAAGGCCATGCGCAATGTGGGTATGAAAACGAGTCAGATCATGGATTTTATGGTCCATCAATCAGGGGGTTATGAGAAAGTGGCCTTTTTATTTTTTATTTTTTTTTGAAGTAAGAAGGTGGGCTTCATTCACAACGATTTGCACAACCAATTCTAAGTTAAGCGCAAAGTACAACTTGTAGAAGGGGATGTAGAGGGTGTCTTAGGATACTTATCAGAGAAAGTAGATGCAAATCCATTATTTTTTTCAAGTACAATGTCGATAAGGAGAACCAGTTGGACAAGATTTTCTGGGCAGATGGCAGGTCTCAAATGGACTATGCTACATTTGGTAATGTATAGGTAGTTGATGCAACTTATCGTAGAAATGCATATAAGAAGCCATTTGTAATTCTAGCTGGCGTGAGTAACCATTTTTTTACGACCATATTCGGATGTGCTTTGTTGCCTGATGAGACAATAGTGACATTCACGTGGGTAATGTTAATGGAGGCCATGGATGGTAAAAGACCTATCTCTGTTGTAACAGATGGTGATAGGGCAATGCGTCAGGCAATCAAAAGAGTTATTCCAAATTACAGATATCGTTTATGTTGTTGGCATCTGGAGAAAAATGCCTCAACAAATGTCTACATATCAGAATTTACAAATAATTTTGCATAGTTGATGTTAATGAAATGTAAAATTGATGAGTTTGACAATGCCTGGGTTGGTATGGTGAAACAATACAAGTTGGAAAACAATAATTGGGTGTTGGAGATTTATCGCAAGTGTGATAAGTGGGCTGAGGCATATCTCCGTGGTCACATATTTGTTGGGATGAGAAGCACTCAACGTGTCGAGGGTATGAATGCATATTTCAATATGTTCCTAGAACAAAAGGTTGGGCTGTACAAATTTGTAGCACAATATGATAGGGCTCTTGCTAGGATGCGTGTTAATGATTTAGAAACAAAATCTAAAACAGAGAATAGTTTCTTGGCTTTGACTACGCCATTGAGAAGTTTGGAGAAACATGCAGCTGAACTCTTTACTCGAAAGATTTTCTTATTGTTTCGACATGAAATCAGGAAAGAGGGTAAATTGTTTGTGATGGAAAGAGTCGAGCATTTGTCAACTGTGTTACAACTAAATTGATAATCTAAAATACATGCAAGGAATAATAATTTCAAACCTATATCATTAAAAATGACATCACATAGCAATATTGATGCATGAAATGATCACTTACGGAACCACAAATCCAGGTTTTTGGTTGTAATGAGCAAAATTGAAACGGGTGGCAAATTCAACCAGCGTGTAAAACAACTCCATGACCACAATATCCTCACTACATCATGTAAAAATTGAAGAGTTAAACTTATTTTTGATAGAGAGGAACATACAAACTCAATAAAATTACCTGCTTTCCAAATCCTTATCGAAACAATAAGCCTCCAGAATTTGTTCCTCCGTAGATAAAGGACATGGCCTTACGATTTGTGTAGTGGATGACTTGTGAATATAACCAAATATATAAATAAGAAATTGTCAAACTTCATAGATTGCATTAAAATAAGGGGATTGGAGATCAAGAACAATAACAAAATGAGTAATAATCTCAACGGTAGTAACAGATGCATCAAAATTGACACCAAGTAGTTTTCCAAGTAAGTTCAAACTCTAAAACAAATTACAACGAACAATAAATAAAGAAAAATCCTAAAATATAGTTACACAAAGAGAAACATTGTATAACACATATATTATCTACATGACTGACTTGATCAAACTTATCCTCCTTTGTATTGAAAGACGAATATGCTTCATCTAAATCAAGCTTTGTCTTGGTTGTCCTTTCTAATTGGCTTTCCTCTTCTTACTAGCAATGGCTGTATAAGGTAACTGTATGTCCACCCGCTTATCCGAACGTCGAGTGCAAGGACTGCCGTATGCACTAGTGGATGAACTAGATTTATCAATAAGTTGGAGTTTTGGGATTTTTTTTCTTCGCTTATTGTTCAATCTTACCTTCATTTTGGTCTACTTTCCTTTTAGCTAATGTGTAATGGGAACACCATTTGTATAAGAAGAAACATCAATTGCATCAAAAAATGGTTCATTTCTTACTCGTTTTCAAACCTGTGTGGTTTGATCATCAAGATGGGAATCCAATTTCAAGATTGATGGTACGAGCGGAATTCTATTTTCCTCCGTGTTTTTCAATGCTACCACAACATCAGGTTTTGGCAAGAGTATAGAGGTGACATGTTTAACTGTAGGTACAACCGTAGATTCTGCCACAACATTAGGTTTTGACATGAGCACAGGGGTGACATGTTCAACTATAGGTACAACCATAGATTCTACCACAACTCCAGGTGCAACATGCCAGCTTTACATTTACATTGGCTGTGCTCCACTTCATGTTGTTTTGACATTTGTGGTGGCTTGCATTTTTCCACGACCTTGGGAATGGAAGAATTAGCTATTCCACTTTTAGCAATAACAACTAGTTCTTCCAAAATACTTTTCATGCCACAAACATTCATCTTAATTATTGAAATCCGACTATCATTGATATTTTTCATACCCCCTCTTTGTACTAATTGTTGCATTTGCTTTTCAACACGAAATTAAGATTAACCTATTCACAGACACATCATAAAGAATTTAGTTTTCGATTTCAACATGAAAAAGAACAAACAAAACCAAACCTAAAAGAAAGGAAACAAAGGATGACCTCCTCATTCTGATAACCTCTTGAATTTTGGAATAGTTTCAATGTCTCCTTTATTTCTACATCGCCCCAATCAGCGAAGCAAGGGACCGAGCGAGCACGAGCAACATGACAACCACTAGGAGCAACACAATCAAAGTAAAACAACTGCATCACAAAAATGCATGAATTTAACACGTACTATGTAATGAAACATGCATTGAAATCAAGTATTTCTGACAAAACAATTTTTAATTGGTTAGAAGTATACCATTATAAGAAATAAGCATCCATTTGGTTGCAAGTGACTTTTTGAATTGTACTTGTGTAACCACGAACAAAGAATTGAAGAGTGAACTTCGCCCAATTATAATCTTTCATGCCATCCACATTTCGAATGAGGTGAATGAAGGATTGTTTAATAATATCCTTTGTGTTTGGGCATAAGAAAGCACCTAATATGTATAGGGCAAATATCCTCGTAAATTCTTCTCCCCTCTGTTTTGGTCAAATACTCTCTCAAAGAATTCAATTTGATAGCTCCTTGGACAACTCCAAGTTCTTCAATTGGCTTGGGAAATTCTTGTGAAGATTTTTTCAGTTATATGATTTTTCCTTTGACAGGAATCCCAGTAACTTGTGAATGTCTAGTTCAGTAATGGGGAGTTGTCGCCGATGAACATTCAAGGAACAAGTTTTGGGATCAAATTTCTGAACCAACCATTCGCAAAGGTCATGATTAAGCTTTGTACATCTGAGATTCAAGAGGCCTCCTAACCCACTATTAGTAACTGCATCACGTTGTTCCAGGCTCAATTTTTTTATTATTTTAACAATTGATCTTAAGGAAATTTGCATTTGGAAATGCCATTGAAAAAGAATATAGTGGGTATTAGAATAATTTAAGAAAGACACGTTCAATAACTTAACAATAGTGTGTGAATCAATTTATGTGAGTATATGCAAATTCAAACGTGTTATTACAATGTGTGAAATATTAAAACAATAAATTTTTGCTCTCTTTGTATTTTACCTTTCTTGGTTTTGTGGGAAGGGGACCTTTTAACGTGGCTTGCTTATCAACACTCCACCTTTCCATCTCTTTGTACTCCTTCTTGTCCCCCTTCCATCGGGTTCTCCATCTCCTATGTCCTTCTTCATCTACATTGCCTCAAAAGTAAATATAAGTGATGCAAGTAGAACATAAAAGATACATAGAACATAAAATATAAAAACAATATGTGGTAGGTAGGCAATGTGCAAACCGTGTCGGTAACTTTTATTTGTGCTTCCTGCATGATTTTGTTTTCATCTAGGCTACAGGTTCAACCAAATGGATAATAAGGGCTAATATTTAAACCCAACATAAAACATGTAATTAAAATAATACATTGAATAGTGTGAATAAATAATACTTGTACAAGAATGCCGGTGCAAATTGTTTGTGTATGCAAGGTTTGTTGCTTCCTTTGCTCATTGTGTATTGTTATCTGTTATCTACATAAGCAAAGGTGAGATAATCATATGAGAGAAAATTAAATCAAGTTAGTCAATGTAAGAAAAGTATACACACCAAAAGAATAATAATAATAAACACAAACCCTTCACTTACACATTGATTATTATAAAAAAATAAAATAAAATAAAAATGAAGCAAACAAATACATACACAAAGTCCAAAGAATGCAACAAGAAAACCACAAATTGAAGGTCTGTTTACAGTCCTAGTGGTGGTTGCTGTTGTTGTGTAGGTTGGTTCTGTTTGGAACTGATGTGATGAATCTGTCATTATTGTTGTCTTTGGTGATGTTATTAGCTAACTTCTTCTTGTTGGTTGTTAGGTTTTAGTCTTTCTTTTGGTGATGTTACATCAATTAATTATATGGGTTTTTATTCCTGGTTGAATATGTAATGACTAGTTACGTCGTGCGTCCCTTCACTCATTGTTTTCTTTGGGTTTGTTGTGCTCGGAGGTTTTTTTTCAAAATTTTCGTTCTTGTTTACTTTGGTGTTGAGTTTCACCTATTTCGGAGGGTGCAGGGTCAGTCTGAAGTGCTAGGGGTTGAGCCGAGAAAATTTTGTGTGGGAGGACTAGGGCCGCACGTGCAGGAATTAGGGGGACTTTGGGCTTGCACACTGCATTATATGTAGGTGCGGGTGAAGGTGCGGATTGGGAGAGCCGCATGTGCGGGGATGAGGGCCGCACGTGCGGGACTTTGCTGAGTCCGAAAATCAGCTTTTTCTTCTTTCCTTGGGCTGTGTGTATGTCATTGTTTGTATATCACTCCCTCTCTAAAAAGCCTTTTCTCCTCATTCTCTCTATATTTCCTACACCAAACAAGACCAAAGCCTTGATTTCTTTAGATCCATTGAGATTTTAACCCAAGTTTCATCATCAAAGTTGGAGAGCTAGCTGAGGGCTTCATCTTGTGTGGTGAAGATCGTGTTTCAACACCATTAAATTCGAGGGTTTCATCTCTATCTCTTTCAAACTTGAGATAGGGGATTTCTTAGAGTTATATGTATGTTTTTGCAAGATTTGGGTCAATTTCAGAACATCTCTTGTAAATTTTGAAACTTGATAATTAACTCTACAATGTGGGTGGTTTGGGGTGGATTTACTCCTTGTTACTTTTAAGGAACATTATCTTGAGGGTTTTCAAATACTTTGATTGAGAAAAAGAATGTTTTGAAGAAACACTTTCAAAAGATTTTGGGTATGTATAGTTGTGATGAGAAAACCTAGAGATTTGGGGTTTTTGTTTGAAAAGTTGTTGAGAAACCATAGTTGATTATTTTTATTTATTATTCTATCCTCTTGTGCCAAAATGAATAAGTAAATTTGAGAATTTCTCATCTTTATGCATGTATATATATATAAATGATGAGTTTCATGAAATATGAGAAGTGATGATTTTGGGAGTTGTTGTGCAAGATGTTGATGTAGTCTTGAAATGACTAAATTGTTGATAATTGTACAAGATGAGGAAATGTTGCTCCTTGTTGATAGATTAATTGAATATGTGGTTATTTTGTGAAATAACATTGAAGAGAGGAAAATGGGAAATGTGGTTGTTATGGTATTATTGTTGAGATACTCGAAAATGGAGAAATGTTATGAGGCATTGATAATTGTTGCATTACATACTCATTCAATTGATTATTATACATTTTGAATTGAGTTTGGAACGTTTACATTGATAAAAGAATATTTTGAAATGAGAATTTTTGAAATGTTTTGGGGCAAATACGTTGGTAAGTCTGGATAAGAGATGTAGATGGAATTGATTAGGTTGGTCTGAGTGTCCGGGGTGAAAGACCGAAAACACGGGTGGTTGTAAATTTTGAAACTTGATAATTAACTCTACAATGTGGGTGGCTTGGGGTGGATTTACTCCTTGTTACTTTTAAGGAACATTATCTTGAGGGTTTTCAAATA